TTGTGTTCACTAGTGAAGTTTATCTTGCTGAAGAAAACGTGTCATAAAACCGTTATTTGTCATAGAACTTATTTTCTGCAATAATTGAAAAGCCTATGGAAAAATCCCCATTGGCTTTTTGTCAAGGGAACCAGGGCGATGCTGACTTCTCGGATGGCCTACAAAAAAACATTACACTGCTTTAGATGATGACTGTGATGTCTTTAATTGTCCTCTTTTTTGCCCGTGAACCTTCCTTGGTGATATATATATACTTATTGATCCCAAGGGAAATTCAGGTATCCAGGTATAAGAGAGCCCAGCGTAGGAGCCTTTTTTGCAATGACCTGCTGAGAGCAGAGGCTCATGTGGCTAATTGTGTCTGAAATGAATGAAGGGACCAGGAATATGCTCACTTATTATGCTGGCCAGTGTGTGCCACAAATATGTTGGAGTGGAGGACAGCGGGGTTTAAAAACTCCAACAGCCAAGGGGCTCCGATGTATCCAGGTGCACAGAGGTGTGAGATGAGAGCTATACTGTATTCTGTGGTTATGAAAAGCCGGTAGATTAACCCAATCAGTGACATCAGGAAATATTAGAGGGTGATTTTGCATTAGGATTATGTTTCGCTGTTTAGTTTTGTGAAGCAGGTGTTGGCAGAAAATAGGCATCCCAGGAGCCAACAGGTGCATTGCAGCTGATTGAGGATGAAACTGGAATTTAGATGTATAGTGTTGTTTTCATCGGCCAAGTGGAGACTGTGTAACCTAAAATGTTTCTGTATTTAAATGACTCCATGGCCTCATCCATACCAACCAATAAAGACCAAGCTTCTCTTATTATTTATGTCTCATTTCTGCATTAATCCAGTAAAAGACCCCGAGACTCCAAAATTCAATGCGGATATATTCTATCAGCCATCAGATGCAGCGTTGTTGGCTAATCCGATTGAATGTCAGATAATCAATGGAGTGCCTGAGCATCCCAGAAACCCCTATCCTCCACACTGCCAGCACATCCCAGATGGCTTAACAAGTCCAGTGCTTTAGAAACAAAATGATCCAAGCCTCCCATCCAAACCCTCGAACACAGAGGGCAAACATGGGATGGGATAAGCAGTGGCTTATTTCTCTTCGACAGCTGTCGGCTCATCAGCTGCCCACTCCCTCCTCAGGCTGCACAGAAAGTCATTAACTCATCAGACTTTGTGTTAGGTTAAATTAAGAAAGTACATAATTACAGATGCATTGTTGACACATTTAGATGGAAGGAAAACATGGAGCTCAGCAACAGCAGTGTCCACAGTGAGTGTCTAAGGAAAATGTCAGGTTTAGCTGAGTACAGTTGTTTATTAGCAGATCTCTAAAACAGTACAAAAACAGAATCACTGTAGCACCGTAAAATGCTGTGTTTTAACTGGGACACACCAAATAGGCCTGGGTGTCTATATGATGGCTTGTGCGTGGTACAAATACCAAACTTTGTTTTCTCCCAGCGCATTATTGTCTCTTAAAATAAACCAAACTTCTTATAGTGTATACACAGATGTTGTTGTTTAATCTTAATGCAGTATAAAACAGTAAGATCATGATTTAAAGACAATCTCATAGATGAGTAAACAGGACAACAATTCTGATGAACCACTTACTACCAGCTTTCCGATACCTGACGTACCTCATGACCACATGAACCAGAGCTACACATCATGAATTCATAAGCCAGTCTGATGCCCTATATGTACAGTTCCTAAACTCCATATGGAACAGAAATGTGTGCCTTTGCTGTAGTTCTGGTGCAAGAGTGGCTCGACCGTGTCTTTATGTGGGGAAATCATTTCAACAACTCAGTCTTGAACTTGGAATCAAAAGGATCAGTTTCAGCTGCAGCATTTTCATTTCACTGTTAAAGGATTTGACTGAAAGATCATCAGGTTCCTTTCCTGTCATCACAGACCTGTATTCTTACACTACTTAGCCAACTGTGATTTGACCTGTTATGCTCTGGAAAATGACTCGGGGCCGTGACAGTTCAGATGAACCAGTTCTACAGCAACTGGCAGCCACAGGAGGTTGTTTGTGTTTATTATGTTGTCAATGACGGTGTGTATGTCCATCTGTGTTTGTGTAATGTGCTGCTGCTAATTGACGTAGTTTTGTAAGTAACGATTTGGTAAATGGTTTTATATAGCACCTTTCTACACAATGGAGTGTGCTCAAAGCGCTTTATAGAATTTCTCATTCACCCATTTGTGCACACAAACATTCACGCATTCACATGGCGATCGGCTTTTTAATCCACAATTCTATACAACCTAGAGACAGGCGAGTTCCTCCCTTCTCGGCTGTTTGCCATGCAGTTCCTCCCAGCTTAAGCAAACTCTGTCACTTTACTGCAGTAAATCTTACAAAACATCTCCAACGGCAGCTCAGGATAATGATGAAGTCATCAAGAGACTACATGGTCTGTGTGTCTTGGCTTGTAGCAGAGGTGTGTATGACTGGTCTTGCATAAGGTGTTGCACTAAATGTCTTGTTTTGCATGCATCATCATAGCACACTGCTGGCTGCATTCCACTAGCTAAGTGCCTTTTATCTTGTCAATAAATGATCTCTGCCTTCTCGCATCCTCGCAAGGATCTAATGCTTCCTCAGTATGCTGCTTCTGTCTTTGGGTGGCTGTCTGTGTATATCCATAACTGAAGTGAAGTAGTTGTGTAGATTATTTGGTATTTGGGACTCTTTGAATTGTGTTTAATTATGCATTTACATGACCAGTCCGTGCAGCCCTTGTGCCTCCCCTGAATGTTTATGACATTTTGAAGGCTGTTTCTCATGGATTTGTCTCTTAGATCGACACCACTACAACAATCCTCCTTGGCAGAAATAAAAAAAAACATCCAAATTATGGCATATCAGGCTAATCCATCAGATATATATTGTCCTCATATATTGCCTAAGGCAGGCCTCACAAGCTGTTGTGATTCACAGCGTAAACACAAGCAGACTCCCACCCACTCCCCTCAATTTATAGAGCTGTGATCATCACTTGACCTCATTGTTAAATGCAGCTTTCTCCCCTGCATTTAAATGAAGCAGACTATTATCAGTATTGATGACAGATCGTGTCTCTGTTGACTTAATTTTCTGCTCCCACTTAAAACCATGTGGCCCAAATCTCATTGCCAAGTGACACAGCTCATAAACTTGGGAGGGCTTGTAAGAAACCTGTGGAGGACACATTGCCCTTAATAAGTTGGCAGAGAGCACAGGTCATCAAAGTTTGAAGTGTGTTTCAACAAATCTCTCTGCCATCCATCTGTCATTGTCTCCTCCCTCAAATGTCAAACAGATGTGCAAATTAATATTTGTGCACACACAGACACTCAGCTTCTGTGTAGACCTTTTGTTGAAAAACTGTTTTCAGGGCTTCTTTTGTCAAGCTATTTATTCAGTATGGTTATCTGTGACTTTAGTTTATACAGCTGGATGAGGTTGCAACATTTTTGCATAACACGCTGTTGTTGCTGTTGTCGGTTTCTAGTCCTGCCTTTTCTGTGAGGTCACTCATCAGACATGTTCTGCAGTGTTGTAACATCTGTCTTTAACTTTTCTGTTCACAAAGTTGGTTTTTATCTGTAGCTCCCTGTTTCTTTGTTTACCTACTTAGTTGTTCCTGTAATTATACAAATCCAGCTATTATAAATGATTCACTACTTGTTACCAGCCAACCTTTTCTGAAAGGACTTAGTGTCTGTATTTGGGACCAGGTATCTGAAGCAACCAATGTAGCAGATATAATTGCTGTAATAACATGGGAGGTTATGATTCTTTTAGCAGGGTATCTTAAAAACACGTAAACAGATTTGAGTAAAAATTGGTCATAATGCAGCAGAAGATGATCTGATTTGGTGTAGAGCCAAACCCAGGAAATGTTTGCAGGTGTTTTTATAAACACAGAACTTCAGCATTTGTTTGAATAAAAAAGCACCCAGTATAGGCTGTGTTTCCTGTTGTGTGGCACTCTTTCTATTTGGATTTAAATATAAAATGTAAATGTGTCCTTGCTCGTTCTTGGCAGTATTTTGTTCTTGGATTGCTTTATAACCTTCATTTAATTCCTTTTACTTTGACTTTTTGAATCTACTTTGCAGTACTTTTATACTTTGACAAATCAAGTCACAATGCTAAAGTAATTTAGTTATGCAATCTCCATCATTTATATTATTGTTATTCAGTTGTTCCATCCTTGAGTTTCTTAACTTCCATAGGGTCATGTAGCCCATGTCAGCATGCTCCGAGGCGGGGGGCAGCTGGGACAGGACCCCGTCGTGCCACGGGGCTAACAAATATAAAACTCACCACATGCCACAGTCACGGTGCAAACAGCTTTGAGTTTTCAGTTCACTTAACCATCACTTGTTTGTGACAGAAAGGCACAGAGAGGCCTCAGCTAACCCAGGGATTGCTCCCCAAGACCTTCTCTCAGCTGTTTTAAAGATGCATTTTACATATACAAATGCAGACCTTCACAGTAATTAATTCTGCCATCAGGCCCTGGTGTCGTGGCTTGTTGTTCTCCGCAGTGTAAGTGAAGGTTTAATTGTGCTAAGTCACCTGTGACAGACATTGATTGGTGGTAAATGAGGCAGGTGTCCCGGTGGGCAGGACCCCGGCGCCTGGCCCCTCTCTCCCTGTGTCTGATTCTCTGTCTCCCTCTTTTTATTTTTTTATGCGTCTGCACTTTTTGCCATCTCAGCAGTTCAGCGAACACTCAATCACATCTCCGCACTGACATAAGGCATTGCATGCTAATAGGAACTTAACTGCCACTTTTAAACACTGATGCTGCGATTGTTTTTAAAGTGTCGCAGAGTAATTTTTACCATAACTATTAAATTCCATTTTTTAGTCTTGCTGTACTTGTAGCAGTATGTATTCACTGTGTGCTTATTACAATACTGAGGTGGCTCAGTTAGTGTATGCTAACCACCAACTGGATATTTGTATATCTCATTTTAGGTGGGAGGCGAATCTGCTGTGGGCCATGTGTTTCTAGTGAGGTCTCATCTTGTGCCAACATGAGGCTGATGCTCGGCTCGCCTCAACCTGTTCTGCCAGCCGTCCTGGCTCTCACCTTAGCCGCCTTCTTAGCTCAGCTGTCCTCAGGAGCCACGCCGTTCCCCCAAGACCTGGAACCAATCAGCATCGTGGGCAGAGAATGTAAGTTCAAAATCTGTTGTGTTGCCATGGTGATCCCTCTTGCCGGAGTAGAGTAAAGCAAGGGGCACTCAGGTATTATTGCTCGTTACTGGGGAACAGGGATTAGTGAGGTCGATGTGTTTTTATTTTTTCCTTTAGTTTTGCTGACTTTGTGTGAAAAAGGCCATTATAACAAAGGCAGCAATGTGTATTCAGACATTTGGTTTGGGGTTTTTAGGCTGGCATGAAAGCTGTCAAAACCAGTCACCAGAATTAGATATGCCTCCTCAGGTCAATGTAGTGCTGTTGATACAGGGGCAAAACAATTACCTGCCAGTCCATGTCACTTCATGTTTACACTAAACGTCAGGTTTGAATGACTCCCCAGGTGCTGGTACAGCATGTACCACAAAATATTAGCAAAATAACACAAAACAACCTTTTTTACTCCTGTAAAATAGCATCAATAACTCATCTTAGATTGTTATTACACTCAGAATCATTAAATGATTTTTAAAACAATCACACTACAGTACATTGACGGTTCTCAAAGGGTTAATGGTGAAATATTGCCCAGCCCAACATGTGACTGCACCTTAACCAGGTAAAACTCAAGAGTTCAGCAGTAGCTGGTACTGTAGGATTTTGACTAAGGAGGATCATTGACATGCGTGACACTCTCAAGACACTGCTTCATCAGGCCACCCTGGGGACCCATCGGTGCCACCCAGTCAGTGGGGAGGTCAATAGAAGAAGCCCTAACAGCTAAACGTAATGGCCCATAATTGATTTAAGAGGTGGCTGAGACCGTGGCCCACACACTGTAATTGATCTATCTGCAAGAGAGTAACGCAACCATTAGCAGAAATAGCTGTGCTAATAGTGCTATATGTGGGGCTCCTTCCTAGTTGTAATGAGAGCAATTTGTCACCTGTGGTTCCAGCAGGTGACAGCATGGCACAAGGTCCCTCGCAGCTCTGAGGCGTCCATTATGAATTGCAGTACTTCACCGAGCTGAAGTCTATGAAATCATACCCAGGTTGTTACTTCTGTTGGGAAGTGGGCAGATGACTCACCTCAGCATTTTGTTTTGTTTTTTTTTGGGACCGACTGAACGCTGAGTAGGCCTGACTGATTTAGGTGCCTGAAAGCAAACGAAGATATTTTTATATATGAGCTGCTCAGAACCGGAGCTGCCATATTTTGAACCTGTATATTAAGTATTTACCAAATATAAACCATGTTCTAATGATTGGTACAATGGCAGAGCTGTACATGTCAGAACCAAGGGCTGTATCAGATGCTTTCACTGAACAGGAACGTATGGGGCCCTAAAACCACTCATCAAGTTCCTTGAGCGTGTTGGGAGGACTCTGACTCTGTAGTCAGTAAAAATAACTGACTGCACTTTTTTGAACCAAGTCATAACATATATAATATATAAAAAGTATTTGACTCAACCCCCTCCAGACTATTTATAATTTTTTTATGTAAACCAGTATAATGCTGTTACCTTAACACACGTGGAAGAGGTTGCATTGTTTGGGACTTTTTGATTCAAGTTTGGGTCAGAAGATTTACAGTATATAATGCAATTGGGATTTTGCGATTCTTTTGTGGTATAAATAGAATATGGGCTTTCATTTTATCATACACCTTTGTGCATATTTCAGTGTACATTGCTGGCCTGTAAATTATTTTCTGACTTAATTGATTAATGATTTGGTCTATAAAACACTGGAGCTTGGTTAAAAAGCCCTAGAACTCAAGGGGGTGTGTTAAATGTCTGATTTGCTCTGACCGGCAGGATAAAAGCAAAAGATATTCAATTAACTATAATGTAAGACAAGGAAAAACAGCAAGTCCTCACAGTTAAGAAGCTGCAGCCACCAAATATTTGGCATTTATGCTTAAAGGACTTCTAAAGTGGCTGATTAATTTTCTGGTGATGGACTAAAGGATTCACTGCTGCAGTTAGAGATGCAACATGTTGAGGAAAACATTAAGCTGTTTTTGCTGGACATGACTTTTCTGGTTGTAGCACTGATGCATTGGTAAAATTGATATGAAAGAAGAGGTTTAGTTTTTTGACTCATTGTTGATGTCGCACTGATTGCAGCCTCATGATGAAGGTTTCTGGTTTGATTCACTCTCTGGCCGGCAGACATGTGCTTCCTGGTGCAGAATGTTTAAATAACCATCACCTGCTTCACCTACAGTGCCCCAGCTGCCCCCTAAACTTTAAAGGATGTGAAAATGCTGAAGAGTAATTAGAAATCCTCCTCCAGCAGGGGGAGGATAGTGGGGAGGGCTGTTGAGCCACTGGGAGTCTCTTCACCAGACAGCACAGCTAGGCCCAGCACTCAGCCAGACACTGGGCGTTTTTAAATCTTTAAACTGTCGACTCAAGATGAGTGGTTAGGGGAACGTACGGCTCCCTGTAGAGAGACTAATTTCAGATCGTGGTGCAACAGCAGCTCTGGTTGGATGGGAGGATGGAGGGCACTTAATGCAGTATTTTACAGATCCAGAGCACCTTGGCCTTGAGCAGAATCCTTGCTTGGTTTAAAAAAAGGCCTCAGCAGGGGTAGCCTGTGATGGGGACGACAGCCTGGTGTCAGTATTCAGCAGGCTAATTTTATTTCTGCCTGAAGCATTTTTTTTTTTTATCACTAAGCATTTGCAAGACATGTCCATCCACAGACTGGTTGTCATTCTGTTATTTAAAGCACTGGACACCATCTTCCTTTGTTTAAATTAAGATTTCCCCCTAGAGAGTCAGTCTGCAGTTTGAAGGCAGGATGGAATTAAAATGCAAAGAGAAAGAAGGGAAAATGCAAATCAGCCATAATGCAATGCACAGATGATATTAAATCACTCGTTCTCTTTGCACCACTTACCTAAGTTCATCTTATTACTTATTACTTTTCTACTGTTGCATACACACACATTCCCAGCTTGAAGGAAGGAATAAGGCCGCTCCAAAGTGGGCTAAGTGGGGAATTTATATATATATAATTTTTTTACATTTAGTATAAGGTATAATCAAGGTTTTTGTGGGTGGTTTTGTCAGATGAAGTCATTTAATTTGCTCTGATGACAACACATTCAACATTTCTGGCCTCAGACAGACGAGTGCTGTTAAAATGTGGGTTGACCAGACAAACTGACCAGACAAACCGACTCTTCTCACTTTGCACATTCCACAGACATGTCTGTTAAGAACACCAGGAGCCATGTATTTACATCGGACTAACCTCTGCGACATGACCATCCAATTTGCAACTTGATAGTTTTTCCCTGCCCATCTGCCTCTATGGTGTGCATGCAGTGTATGCTCCGGGTTTTCAGCACAATAGGCCAAACTGTAATTTTCAGTTAGTGTTTCATAAGCTGCAAAGGTGTTGTATTTTTCTAAGCTGTTGAATTATTTTTAAATGAATATTAGTGACAGATATTCGGCATTGTTAGATAATCGACATTGCCCGAATCTGCACTCACAAGGCTGATTAACAGGAAATGCTGCAGGCACATCTGCAGGCAGTGGCCTTTTTCCTTCACAGTTTAGTTGTTTTTTTTTCTTGGAGAATTTTTTTAAATATAAAATAATAAGGGGAGTGCAGAGTGTAGCAAGCAGAGACAAGGCTCAGTCTTTATTTTTGAATAATTCAAATATTCTCAGAATTCTTTAGTATTTAAGTTCAGCAAATTTTTCTCATTTAATATACATTTGTTTCTTATTTGATTAAAAAAAAACATGATATCAGCATTATATGTCACTGGCCTCCCAACTCTCTAAAGACTGGCATTGGCCTTTGAAAAGCCCATACTGGTCGACCACTAATGCCATTAGTGTCCTACTGCTTCTCTACCAATGTAAAAGCACTGATGTACAGCAACGATGAGTGATTGACTTTTGTTTGCACAGTTGACCTGAATAGTAAACAGTCCAGTCACATTTTTATTTCTCACTAAGTTAATGTGAGGTTTGAGCTGAATTTATTTTCCTGTTTTGAAGAAAAAGAGATGTAATATATTAGTCTGGTTTATGTTGTCAGCTCTCTTCTGAGAAGGCGTTGGTGGTTATCTGTTGCTATTATGAGTATTTGAACATGTTCTCTTCATCTCATTTGCCCACGCAGCCTCCTACCTCTACCCGAGCTTCCAGGGACTCATGTCGGACAATGACACTGTCCGTCTGGGCTTGGACTTCCAGAGGATGCTGAAGATCAATCACATGCTCTACATCGCTGCCCGGTCAGTCACTGCCACTCTCCTGCTAGCTTGACACAGGACCCATTAGCATAGTTCTTCCTTTGTCATCTATATTTGTAGATTTCACAAAAGCTAATAATGGTAATATACACTTTATATGTTATATGTCAACCACTGTCTGCAAATCTGATCATGTCCTTCAGAACTGATAAATCATCTGATCACTGTTTCTAGTTTTTTTTGTCCATGAATGTGAAGAGTAATGATCATAAGTTAGCAGAGCCTAAACCTTTAACCAGTGAGTTGTACAGTGGCCAAAAAGGTGATATTTGATTATATATGCATTTAGTTGCAAGTTTGATCTTAATTTTAAATGTAAAGTCAAATATGCATGAAAACAATTTAGTTTTTATTTTGACCAATAACTGGGGAAGAGGCAGTGGGCTTTTGATAGATATATAGATATTTTACTGATACCATGGATGTTGAGGTAAGGAACCTGAGGGAGAGAAATAGACAAAAGCCAAAACTGAATAAGCAAAGAGGTCAAAAACAAACAAACAAGAAAACAGCAGAACCCAACTGAAAACATGTCAGTAGTAAAGTTCATATAACACATATTCAGACACCACAAGTGAAGAGAAGAAAGTGAACCCTGCCAAGTTTGCACAAACGTTGACACGTGGATGGAGAAATTTGTGGTTATTTTTCTGAGAGACAGGAACAGAGTCAGAGAGCTTTGGAAATTTCAAAGTACTTTATAAATCTAGATCTAAGATGCCCAAAAGGCTTTTGTGTTTGCAGTTCTGGCAGCTTCTTTGCAGTTTTTCTAGTGCATCACTAATGTCTAATTGCACATTGTCCCCCTTTCAATCAAGATGTTTTAGGTTAAATATCTAAAAAGTATGAGGTTGCGCCTCCTCTGCCCACTTTTATCGTGTAAAGCTTTTGGCCCTGTCTCAAATGGCTCGCACTGCCAAGAATCCCATCCAAAAAGGTGTGGGCATTCTTAATGCAACTACATTAATGTCTTTCACAGCCGCGTACAAGAAGGTGCATGTCACACTTCACAAAATGATTCATATGGGTTGTGTTGACAGTTGGAAAACTTTTTCGAAGGTGAAATGGCTTAGTCAGAAGCTTTTGTCTAAAAGCACGTGGGGATGGCCCCACTTATGGTGTCTTGATTCTCTGTCTCTTGCAGGGACCATGTGTTTGCCATCAATCTTGCCACTTCATCTGAGCAGATAATCCCCCAGCAGGTAGGCAAGTTAGTGCACGATCATGAAAAATCTTCTGGTGTTTACTTGGTTGTCATTACATGTCATTGCTCTGTGTCCGACATAATAATATATCCTTTCTTGATAATGTGAGTTTATATTCATTTATATAGGACATTATTTCATGTGTAACTTGGACATGTCATTTAGTTTCTAAACTGAACTGTGGTCTGTTGGCTACCTCAGTACAAAAACTCACGTCCAAGATGAATTCTTGCTCTGACAGTCTGACATTTAGGGAGTGTCTGGATCCTCTGATCCTTTAGAATCAAAAGCAATGATCTGAAAGTTACAAGTAGAGGTTTTGAATTGCAGCACCAGCTTCACTTGACATTGTTCATAGAAAACAGTAAAATCATTCACAGAACTGAACATGTGCTTTTGCTTGGTAGTGGTGATATTCTGGATAATATGTCACATATACAAATAGACCTATAGTGATTTTGAATTAAGGGTTTAATTTAAGGCTCTGCTGTTTTTGCTCAGACTGCAGTTCTTTCCTTGTTTTGCTGAGCTACACTGTGTGTTTGCAGAAAAAAATCTCTTGTAATGTTTGTATGTCATTATTTTCCTTTCTACCCTTTGCCTGTCTTTTCATTCCAGTATTAAGCAATCTCTCTTCAGACATATATCCAATACAAGTGGAGCTGTCCTCTTGTGGCGTTTGAAGTGCTCTGCTCCCTCCTATCTGAATCTCATTTGTCAAACACGGCCCTCCAAGGCCTGGACGTTTGTTTGCTTGTGTTTAGATTAGCACCAAACACAATATTCATTCTGATAAGGGCACCACTCCATGTCAAGGAGATCTAAACTTTTTACTTGGGAACTTTGGAGCACCACAGTGTTAGACCATCTTTTTTCAGTTATGTTATATGATGTGAAATGTTTGTATATGCTGAATTTTTTTTTTTACATCGGTTCAATCAAACCTCCGTCACCTCCAGTGCGACAGCAGGAACTGAGTGGAAAATTATTCGAGGCTGTACATCTATGCTGCTCTCACATTCTTACTCTCCTGTTCCTCTCCATCAGAGCCTGATCTTTAGTGTGAGTCTGCATCATACCACAGAAAATGTTGTGCCCTCTTCACACCGAGGGCTCCTTCACCGATCTCTCCGGGCCATGGGTGACCATAAGTAATTATTAGTAAACCATATCGAGTGTGGAGAAGGCACTACTGTACCTATTACCATAATGCTGACTCACCACAAAGTCGTACTGGAGGTGTTCCATACAAGGACCTAGAGGGACATCTTTAAAATCAGATGCCAAGGAGTCTGTCTTATACTGCTCAGCTCGAAATGTTAGTCCTCATCATTCAGACTGAGCTCACTAATAGTAATGTTTTGTGGATGGATCTTTGTGTTTTACAGAAAAAGTCACAATCAAAAGACCAAAACCCAACAATAAATTGATCCTGCTAACAAATATGTCTGCTGTTGCATCAGGTGACATGTTCCTTCATTAGCATGATCACACTGAAGATTATTTATTGTCAGTTCTACATGAACCACCCTGAGGTAAAACCTCATTCATGTGCATCAGTATGCCACAAGAAGGTCCCCAACAAAAGCACTGTTCAACCCTGTTGAAGTAACATTCACTAAAACTACAGTGGCAAGCCTTTTTAAATATATTAAGATATTATAAATGTTTACACATTATATTTAAAAATAAAACCATATATTTAAGACCTATTTCTAAAGACATCTGTCTGCAGGAGGGGCCAAGTACTACAGACATGGAGGCTAATGCATTGCTGGTTTTGATCGTTTTTAAGGGATTGAGAAAAATATGGAACAATGGCATTGTTCTTAAATGTGTTTATCATAATGCAGTAGAAATGAAACAACGTTAGCTTAATATGTTTCATAGAAGTCCTTCTCAATTAAGATACATGTCTCCTCTTTATACTGCAGTCTTCTCTTTGCAAGCTGGTTGGACTGATTTAAAAGTAGTCTGATAAAATGTAAAACCAGCCCAAAGAATGAAAAGCAGGGGAGCTTGTGGTACAAATTGTGTTGTGTTCCAGAGACTCCTGGTCTATCTCCGGTAATCAGGGAGGCCTATGCTGTTGGTGGTGCTTTGGGAGAAAAGAAAGGGCCTCGTTCACCATCATCTTCCTATGTGTTTTCTTAAATCTGTTCTTAGCTTCTTCTTAAGAAAAGCCCTAAGAAAAACCTCTGATTCATGAACGTGTTCTCAAAAACCTCAGAAGTGTTCATGTCGGTGTTCTTGCAACGATGAATCCCATGTGTTTGTCAGTTGTTCCTATTTAGCAGGTAAACGCCCACCAATCCCTAATAAAAAGGCATGAGATTGCAGAGACATGTGCACACACAGTTTTTGCACAGAAATTGAAAAAAAAGTTGAGAATGTCAGGAATGTTAAAAATCTAAAGACGATGGCGCAACAAACTCCAAACTGAAGAAAAGCTTGAGTAGTTTTAAAGTGGAGAACAGCGAATGAGCGGGTATAAAATAAAGAGGCACAGAATGTTCGTGCTCTTTCAGTGAATGCTGTATAAGGAGAAGGGTGCATAATTGGTGAAGCATAAGATCAGGTTTGAGCTCAAATCTGAGGCAACAGTACAGGGAAGAGAGATGCTGGCCCAGAGTTATCAGCGTGTCAGGGCCATACACGGCACTCGGGTCCCATTCAGCTGCCCCGCACGCCCCATGTCTGATGACAACCAAACACACAGATGGCTCAACACTGGCCACTATGTCTGAGACATTTAAAGGAATTAATAGAAATAAAAAAATAAAGATATGCACTTAAACATTTGGTTTTTAAGTGATGCATTTCTTCATTCTAAGCTATAAATAATCACACTATAAAAGTCAGATGAATTTTAAAGCCTTTATTTGTAAATGAGCAAATCATTGCTTAGTGTAATTTATAGTGTTTGTTAATCTTAAAAGGCTGTAATGCTTAGAGGTATTAATAGTGATAAAATGTTGTAAATTAAATATTCTATTTTACAGCTGTAGAACTGAAGAAAGCTAACTAACCAGTGATTTCACACATCAGCACTCAAATGTGCGTAACTGTGATCCTGAGGGTGCGTTGATTCTTTTCTTACCTAAGAACAAATCCCAGATAAAAAACATCAGTGAATGGCAGAATCTTCAGGAAAACTGCACAAGTGGGGATTTAAGAAGAAAGTTGCTCTTAGTAACTGTTGGTGAATGAGGCCCAAAGCTCCTGTGAGCCTGTCTAGGCCTATATGCACACAGAAATAAAGAAATGCAATTAAAATGTTTCAACGCATTTGTAAAATGTGAAGGCATTTTTCATCTTTGATCCAGACCGCTGAACATTTCTAGTTTGGCAAAGCACCAGACAGCTGGACCCATATTTACTGTAGAGTGCGTAGAAATACACCTGGCACTGGTATGGAAGCACCTGTTTGGTTGATATAGTCTACATCAGCTGCCAGTTCACAGTCAGTCACATTTTCTGTGTTGCTCCTTACCTTTCAATATTTAATCATGAAATACCTTTTGCAATATACATAAAAAGAAAATAATTAGCTTCTGAATCTAAACTATGGGGGTCAGAGAGATATGTGCTGTAAATACCTCTCTTATGGAATTTAGTCTCTTAAGAAATGTAATTTTAGTGAGACTGCAAGGACAAACTCACATGGTATTCATAGAGAGTGCACACTATACCATGAAATACCTTGTGTATATCATAAATGGGCACGCATCTTGGTGTTACGTTAAGTGTTAATGCAAATCCAGACCCATTGTCAAGCAAGAGTAATTCAAAATGTTTATATACATGACAACATGACAAGGATAGTTACCTAAAGTATCACACATTCAGAATGATTACAGCACTTACAAGAAACAAACACAGATCATCTGCAGAAAAATGAACAGGTATATTCGAAGCTTTGCAGTTTGCAGGGGAAAGAAGAGTCACCATTCAAAAGTGTCCAGAATCAAGACCTGGCATTAAAACCTAATGTGTCTGAAACCTGGTCTTAAGCTCAGACTCCAGACAAAATGCCCAAGACCAGATACGGCTTCTTCAGCTTGTAGAGGTTGTTTCAGAATCTCCAAATGTTGACGTCACTGAGTGACATCCAGCTCCAGTCTGCTCGCACACTGTTCGATCCTCTGAGTGACTTTGGTCTGAAACTGGAGCTTATTTTACATTACTCTAATCATCCTCAGTGGCATGGGAGCGCAGAGATTTTTAACAAGCTGATGGAGCTTTTGTAACAGTCTGTTCAGTGACTTACCACTGATACAGGGAATGTGTTCAGGATGAGGGGAGGGCTTTTGACCGGCAGGTTCACTGGGGCTAATTGACTGCTCCTCATATAGACAAGCGCCGTGATGCAAACATCTTTCGATCCTTTGATTTCCCTGTGTGTGTTCTCCCAGATCTAGACATATCTTGCAGAGTGATTTTTATCACTGGGGAACCACAACCCCTAGCTGCCCAGGTCGCCGCAGGCTTCCCTGATTTTTCTCTGTTTGTTTTTCTTCACGACAGTTTGTTGAAGTTAATGAGATTTTCATCACAGCTGTCTCATAATGGCACTTGAACGATTGGGAGCAACAAAAGCTGGGATAGCGAGAAGCAGCTTGTCTTTGAGCTGACAGTTGGCTGTTCATTTTTCAGAAACTGACTTGGAAGACGAAGGATGTGGAGAAGTGCACTGTGAGAGGGAAAAACAGCGTGAGTATTATCTTCCAGACACATACACATCATCCTCTCCCTTTTTCTTTGTGGGCTTAGACACATACACATCATCCTCTCCCTTTCTGTTTTTCTTTGTGGGCTCGTTCTCTCACTCCTTTCACCTCTGCTTTTGTTTCCTGCACAGTGAAGTTTTGTAATAAGCGAAGGTGTTCATGTAGCTTATCAGAATCAGTGCCACGGACAACAGCCTGGGCCTACTGGCATCACATTATCCTCCCCAGAGCTATAGTGAAAACACAGGAATCAGCCTAGGGATTATGATAACTGAATGTAAACCAGAGGTGGTTGTGTCTGTGTAGCTGTGGGTAAAACGTGCTGTCTGTCTGCAGCAAGTCCTGCTTTAATTCTGTTGTCAGGCTGCCAGGCTCCAACATGGACCTACTCCCTGATGTACAGTAACATCAAGCTGTTTTTCTCCTGACAGGATGAGTGTTACAACTACATCAAAGTGCTGGTGCCACGCAATGACGAGACGCTTTTCGCCTGCGGCACCAATGCCTTCAACCCCACCTGCCGTAACTATAAGGTGAGATGCTATACTGCTGTGTGCTGCCTTCTGTCCTCAGTCACAGATAAGATGTCGTGTGACAGCTGTTATGAGATGTCTGACCGTGTCCTTGTGTGCTGTTTCAGTTAACACCATGTTATTTAAGCTGCTAATAGAAATAACAAACTGCAAGCTAAACTGATCATGTTTGCACCACACCGAGTTCCATTACCAGTAATGTCGTGTCATAAACAAACACATAAACAGGTCACAGAGGCTCACACACAGCATGTTTTACACATCAGTGAAAACTGCAGAATGTGCAGTGGATTCAGTTTGAAATTCAGTCTGGGCCACGTGCAGTCTGAGATGAACGATTATGTTTTTGTTGGGGTTAAAGTTGGTTCAGAGTTGGTTAATGAAAGCTGCAGTATAACATTTTTCCCAAATAGTTCAGTTGTAGAAACCTGTTCCAAAACGTGTCTTAATGTGGAGAGTTGCTGTTGAACCCTGCTGTGACCCAGACTCATTGACCAGCGCTGGCAGCAGTGCAGAGATATTAGCTTCTTAAAGGTTTTGAGCGGGACTGACCTCTCTGACCAGTCAGAGATTTTCAATTATTTCTGCCTAATCAGTAAATTTTATTGCTTTCCCATTTCTTGTAATTTCATAACGACAAATATCTGATGAGTGGCGGAGCGTAGCAGATCATAGTAGAGCTTAGTGGAGCAGGGAGAGGGAGAACTGACTGGAGTGATTTGGATTTTCATGCTAGCGCTACCTTAAGTTACATGCTGCAGCTCTAAGAGAAAGACTGGAGGTTTTTTTTGTTTTTGTTTTTTTACAGTTGAGCCATAAACCTTTAAAGAGACATTAATGGTATTATAATAGTAATGTCAACTTCACTATACAATACTATGAGTTATTATAAATAACCATGAAAAATACTCTTTAAATTTTGTTGAATTAAGGCAAAGTCAGAAATAAAAGTGCATGTAAAGCACTTTTACTGCCAGTGCAGTACATCTGTAGCCACCAGAGCCCAAACAATAGATAAAATAATGTTAACGCCATTTTTTTAAAAGGACATCTGCTGTCAGATAATACCCACAAACACTGCTACACAGATGGGTCATACCAGGTCGAATGCAGCTTCGTCAGCCGAAGCCCAGCGGCCAGCGCTTCACTTTCATCTTTTCAGTGATGTGAAAACAGCTGGAAAATGACTTCATGCAAAAAAGGGAGAGGCTAAACAATCATGATGCATATGCTAAATGCATGAAAAACTATGTTAATACAGAGTAACAGTCGAAAGTAACCAATAGACATACAGTCCATTTACCAGTACTGTAGAGTACTTTTCCTGTTCTCTGAACAGTCAAACATCAGCAGCAGATGTGTACTGATCCTGTGTATGTTGCCACACTTGTGTTGTACAAGGTCAGTTTTACTTCAAACTCTTAATGGTGGTGAAATAAAGTGTTGGCTCAACAAGACAGAGAGACAGACATCTGCTGAGAGAAACAAGATATGCTGACAATAGCAATAGTACAACAGGTTCTTTCACATCGCTGGAACAACAAAGCTGAGGGGGGAGATGGAATAAGAGGAAGAAAGTGAAGAAAGTGAGGAGTGGGAGGATGAAGGAGAACAGATCGAGACGAGGCTCTCAGCTGTGCCTTGACTCATATCCTTCCACTATAGTGATAAATAGCAGCACTGAGGTCCAAAACATAACACAAATGCTAACAGCTGCATTTTGCTTAAGGACAATGCAAAGGCAAAGCTCTCACAGGTTGAGAAACCCAGACCAGCAGCATGTCATTATGGAGGCTCCGAGGTGATATCACAGGTTTGTACTGTTATTCACAGTAGAGGAGGGGGGAGTACAACTGCTACAGCACAGACTGTAAATCCAGAAATACTTTGTTTCTATGAGTTTTTGACCTGTGAGATATCTTAGTTCCTACCAAGGGGGGGTCAGAGTATTCTGTTGTTTACAGTATGGTGCCATGTGGATAGCAAAAGAAATAAAGGGTGAGTAAATAACTTTCATGTAGTCTGTGCAAGTGTTACACCAGTTTTTACACTGTGGATGTGTCAGTCCTGAATGGAGCTTTTTGTAACTTAATAATGTAGTTAGCTAATGATATTATTACCCTTCCTTGGAAGTGACACTGTAGGTAAGAAGCTGGTTGGCATTCTGACGCTAGTGGTTTACAAACATGCTGTGTAACACAGTGCCTACACTTTAGCTCTTCTATTGTTGGTTTTGTGAAGTAGATAAGAAAGGCGTGACTGTCCAAACACTTTAAATGCAGAGGATCATCTTTCTAGAAGCCTGTTTATCCCCAGGTTTGGGGAGGGATTTATCAAATTTTTCATTGATCAACCAGAAGTTAGTATTTTATGTTTCTGAATGACCAGCCACTCCAGTCTTGGGATTTATTAACTATGAACAACATCAATTTATGCTGATAGCGCCTAACTGCCTTCCAGGATCAGAAAGTGTCAGAAAGGACCTCCACTGTGTCAGTGCTCAGCTACAGGATGTCCAGAGGTTGTGCTGGAGTAAAATGAATGTCAGATCGTTAGAGAACTGCATACCAACTTCCTTCCAGATGTCACCGTCTCCCTGCCATGGGCTTCCTTTGGTAAAGAGTGGCCAATTTACAGTTTAACCAAAACACATTCACACATTCTTTCTCAGTGCTGCCCTCAACTGCCCCTGCTCCCCTCATCTTTTTCCCTATTCTGGAAAAAATAAACAAGAGATGCCTATCCAGGCAGCTGAGGAGATAGGGGGCAAATGTAAATCATATGTGGAGGACAACGGGCGATTGAGAGAGAGGCGTCTGTGTGTTTGTGTGTCATGCAGCTTCACTGACCAGGCTGCTGCGACAGCTGGTCTGTAGACAACAGAGAGAGTCTTCAGCACGCGCTTGCGATATAACCAAAACCTTGAAGCATCAGAACCATCTGTCTTCATGTACCCGCAGGGATAACGATCCCGCAGTCACCACACAGCTTTGTTGAATCCTCAGTTCTCTCTGACGTCTGGGGTCTTTTTTGAGATTAACACACTGCTGCTTCACTTCAGACAAGAATGGTCAGTGCTGTTGATTTTTAATCAGATTTCAAACAATGTAATTTCACTGAGAGCACAATCATTCTGTTTCCTGATTACTGATTAGAGACTGAGTGATACTCCAGCCACTTTTATTTTTCTTTATTATTACTATGGTGACATTCCTGGTTGCATTGCTCTTTCCCGTTTGCCACTTGAATCAATACACCATTACATCAGCATGATTTTTTTTTTTTTCACTTTGCTGGGTTCAAGGTCATATTTCTGAAATTTATTTTGGAAAATTACATAAGTTCTTTCTTAATGAATAAGTATAATTAGCCCTTTGCTAACCCTGTCAGTATTGAAAAAATATGACTTGTTGCCTTCTTGTTGGCATTTACTGAGCATCCAGGCATTAAACATTAAAAGTGACTGCCCCGACAAAAAAAAAAAAGAAATTTAAATTGTGTTGACATTTTGTGTCCCACTGATTTAAAAATGTACATGACATTTGTTGGTCATGTTGCCTTCTTGCTTGTCCCTGTGTGCCTGCTTCCTGTGGTAAAAGCCAAACTGGAAAATGCATTAAAAGCACTTGGTCTTGGCCGCTTTCTGAACTTCACTTTTGTGATTTTATTCATGTCCTTGTGAAAAGTAGTTTTCACCATATCTAACCATAGTGTTCATTTGATGCCGTACAAGAGGGTGGGTACAATGAAAGTGGCACTTGTGCCATATAATTCAGTTTATTACAACAATAACACAAACAAGTGGCTCAGTCTGAACAATAACTGAACACTTCACAGGAGTGATATTTCAGGCAGTGCTGTTGTGTTGGATTGTGTCAGGTTCAGTGGTGTAAACACATATCCATGACAGACTGAAGGGTTTTCCTTGAGGCCTTTATGTGCCGTTTATGTGGCAAAGCTCTGTTGTGAGGTTCTGGATTGCATAGTTTTTTTCTCTGCTGGGTGATTGTATTTTCACAGGCACTCCGAGCAGCTGTTAACCCACCACCCAGTCATCTCAGGTGCAGATGAAGACAAATGTCTTCTATATTTTATCTGTACTGACATTTTGCCACTAGTGACAGGCAGAGGTTCTTAGAAAGAATGGACAGTATTTAAACATGATGCATCCGTTAATGATTTGTTGGCCATGAATGTAACAAGCTGTTAGCCCATATGTGCAGCTATCGGTTCCTCAGTTTCTGTTGTGATATCTTCTTTGTGGTTTTAACCAAGTAAATAAAAAATCTGTTAAAGCAACTGGTTGGAGGCTTAGTTGTGGTAGTAGTGGTGGTGGTGGTAACTTATAAAGTTCTATGAGATAAATTTTGAACCCACAGTCACTGAAACTGGTGTAAACATGTGAAAATGTCTTGATAGCTCTGTGGCACCACAGTAAGTTCAAGATAATTTACATATGTGTGTGTTGGCAGGCCTTAATCGAAACATAAAGTACAATACAACATTAAACAAACAGTACAAGGCAGATGATTCACAGGAGTACATCACATACACATTTCCAACGAGAAAAACAGCAGTGATACCACTTCTAGGTGGGATTGTGTTTGCTGCAGCCGGCACCAGCACTCCAGGGGCTTTTGGCAAAACAATGCAACCTTGTGTGGTGAAAAAGTTGGATCTGGTTCAGATTTTGCCAGACTGGCCTGTGACATAATCTTGCAAGGCGCTGCATTGACCAATCTCACCTGGGGGGGTGGTCAGACTGTGTGCACCCACGGAAAGAAGACTCTTTTGTTTACCTTGTTAGCATGAGCACTGAAGGGCTGGAAACATGAATAAAACCACTCACTTCGAGTCGTTACAACGTGGCCGTATCGTACACGCCTACAACACTCCCTCTACAACTCCTCAACCCCACCAATGTCAGATGAGCATCACATAAGCCACGTGTTATGGACTGATAACATGGTGTGAGCTTGTATAACTAAAGTTGTGGAGACATAAATCTGTTTACATAATCAGTGTGAAGAGTTGGCATGAGGTAAGGTTTTGGCTAGTGGTGGTTAGGGTAGTGTTGGAAATGTTGGAAAAGCGTGTGTTTGTCAGTCACCTCGCTGCTACAGAGGGTGTCGCAGTCGTTCTGCATTCGTTCGGCCGCCATTCCACACACACCGCTGGGTGTTGCTTATTATCCTGTCTGAGCTTTATAACCTCATTAACAACAGGCTGGAACATAGCAGCTGGATGTCTGTGGCTGACTGATAAACTGTCTGTCTGCTTGTGATAGCAGGACTTCAGACTTCACTCACATCCTTTATGGACCCAACCCACATACAATACATCAAACAGAAGGGAGTCTGTATGATGCGTGCATTCCCTTCCATTATCACTGATTGATTTGGTACATCCTTTGCATTCAGACACAATTCTCACTACGTTATAGACTTCTGGGTGTTTGAAGCTGATTCATTTTGCAGATGGAGCAGCAGTGACCTCAGGGGTTTACAGCTGTGCACAGTAACACCGTTGTCATATTTACAATTGTCACTCTGTCTTTTATATCTCATTTTTCTGTTGGGTTACAAAGCTCTGTATATGGCCTCATAAAGCATTACTTTGCTGCTGTGTCCTCTCTGACCTAGATGTCGACACTGGAGCAGGAAGGGGAGGAGGTTGTGGGACAGGCACGTTGTCCCTTCGAATCCCGCCAGTCCAACGTTGGCCTGTTTGCAGGTGAATAAAACAGAGTGAGCCCCTGGTTGTAGAGACTGTCCTGTGAGTAAATGTTGCTGGTTTAATGATCATAGCTGCTGATCTATGTCTTTAATCCTCTCAAAGTTCATATTCCTGACTCTGAATGCATTTGCTAATTCAGATAATACCTTTATAGGCTCTGCAGGTGATGCATCGGTTCAAAAGCTGCGGTCTTTTGTATGGATGGATTTCAGGACCCATTTAATAGTTTTGCCTTGAATTTAACAAGTGAATTAAAAGTGGAAAAATATGGTTACTCTCTAAAGGTTCATGCCAGTGTTGTTGCCAGATTTATCTCTTTAAATGTTTGTGTGTGTGTGTGTCTTCTTTTCACCTTCTCTTTTTCAAATGCATGCTGAACAGCTGTAGGTCTTTGTCAGCAGACTTGAGTGAACATCCATTCTTCCTTCTTCATCATTCAAATGGTTTTCTTTATTTGTGGTCACAGAACATAAAGGAAGAAAATTACTAGATAATGTAAAAATCAAAATGTAATAGACACTGGTACAACAACCACTGTCTGTTTGGATGAGGGTATGAGCTAAAAGCCTGAAATATAAATGCAGTTCAGTATCCAAGCATAAATAAATAAAAACTATGTTCTGAAGTTGCACCTTGACTGATCCGCACTTGTGGCTGGATTTTTTCTAAATCATAGCAATGAAGGAAGCTGATACTTTGTGACTGCATCAGTCTGAAGTTCAGGGCAGAGTGAAGGGAGAGCCAGACCTGCACTCAGTCCTGCCAGGTTTCCACTGACATTTATGCAAAGTTCACACGAGGTGTTATTAAAAGTGACTCGGTCTCCTACATCTGTTCTCCTCTACTTCTTTTTAAAGGGCAATAAAAGTCACCTGTGACCAAAATACACACTTAACAGTAGCAGGTTATTCATGGGAACTGTCACCCCTGACAGTGTAGCTCAATCATGGTTTTTCTCTTTTTCTCAGGTGGTGATTTCTACTCGGCCACCATGACTGATTTCCTGGCAAGCGATGCAGTCATTTACAGAAGTCTAGGAGAAAGTAGCCCTGTCCTCCGTACAGTCAAGTATGACTCCAAATGGCTGAGAGGTGATGAGCCAGCTTTTTAATAGATGGCATTCATACATTGACATATAGTTATGGGATTGTAAGGAGCCTGGTGATGAGTTGTTGAGATAGAAGACTGAGCTACATTTGTCATGTCTAGGGTCAGCAAGATGTTTTATTTATCATCATTCTTCTCAGTTGGAGTATTATTTCAGCAAGAAAACTGTAGGAAACATGGTTTACAATCACTTCTCTTCCATTTCTATATTATATATAGGAATGCACATGATAGACTGTGCAAATAACAGCTTAAAATCATCATACTGCAGTTTAGTCTGACTTTTTTCACAGAGATCTAGAAGCCAGGACAGTATGAGCACAACAAACACTGCCAAGCTGGTTTAAAAACTGGTTTAAAGATCAGGAAATAAAGTTAACTAGAGTGTAGATTTTTTGTTGTTGTTGTTGTTATTTCACACCAACTGGTTTTTTTTCTGTGAGCTGTATTAATGTGAACATTCTGGATCAGCAGAGTATTACTTGGATCCAGATCAGACTTTGGTGTGTGACAGATTTTATGTGGATGTTACTGTACAATTTTTGTCCAAGCATTGTGTATGGCGTTATAAACAAAAATATTGACACTGGCCCTATCTCACGGTGGTGGAAAATCCTGGATCCAGCACCAAAATCTAATAAACTGTTCCATGGGCCACATCCTACCTCTCCAAAACATGTCATCAAATTCCATTCATAACTTTTTGAGTTATGCTGTGAACCAACCAGCCAACAAGCAAACGCTGGTAAAAGCGTTACCTCTGCTTTGGCAACATATGTGATGGCAAAACCATGTTCATACTTAGCAGCTGTTCAGATAAGAGTTCACAGTTTTGATTCTCCTGTGCTACAGGCATCTACTTAGAAACGCCATTTTGTCTTGAAAGGTAAAGTGATCTGATCGGGTTGTGTTAGTCTTATTTGTTTCGGTCTCAGAATCAGGGTTTGAAGTATTTGGAGAAAGTAGGCCATCAGAACTAAGGTGTGCAAAAATAAAGATTCTCTGAAATGCACCAAAGTCCAACCTTGCAACTGACTACAGTTCTGACTTGGGTGTTTATTTATTTTTTTAGCACTGATCCAGCTCTAGCTTTGCAGTTTCAGTACAGCCAATATAATCTGTGATTGTTTCGCCTTATTTTTTACCCTAATATTTGGATTTGGCATTCTATAACACACTCCCTGAGTTTCTCCTGGACGTGTTTTCCAAACTGAGCGTCTGTGTTTACCAGCTTCACTCCCAGGCTGCTCACAATCCACTGTCATGTTGGAAATAAGGCCTCGCTGCCAGCATGTTTGTGAGGCATCTCCTCTTGTCTCCCACAGAGCCCCATTTCCTCCACGCTATTGAGTATGGGAATTACGTGTACTTTTTCTTCAGTGAGATTGCAGTGGAGTACACTACGCTCGGCAAGGTGAGGGACACGTTCCACACCAGACGCTTGCCAGACTTGTGGTTTTGTAGCATTGATTCGTTTGTTTCTGACTGGAGTAAAGTCAGATAACATCACTTGCAATGCAAACCACATTCCTACAAGATTTTTTACTGCCATTCATTTCCTCATGTTAGCTCTGCCTTGGTGTGTTGTGGTATATGTCTTGATTTACAAATTAGAGTTGTCATCTGTAAGGTGTTTTCCCATCTGTCCCCTCAGGTGGTTTTTTCCAGAGTCGCACGTGTTTGTAAGAATGACAATGGCGGTTCCCCGAGGGTGCTGGAACGTTACTGGACGTCATTTCTCAAAGCCCGACTGAACTGTTCCGTTCCAGGTGACTCCTTCTTCTACTTTGATGTCCTGCAGTCACTGACCAACGTGCTGCAGGTCAACCACCGACCGGCCGTGCTCGGCGTCTTCACCACACAGGCAAACAGGTCAGTCAGGCCAGCTAGGGATCAGCGTTGTTTGTCTGTTCACAATAACGTGTTTAGTTTGCTTGTCTTACTATGTTTTTGAGGTAGGGTGATGTATTACTACAGATACTCAGTGGCGTACTCTGGATGGCGTCATCATTTCTCTAGAAAAAGCTGCTTTGCAGAGCAACCTGGTTGCTTTCTGCTTTATTCCATCACAGTAACACAATTTACAATGATAGTGATTATTGATATATATTTTTTGAACATTTAAAGAAGATTGTAAAAAAGAAGGCAAATACTTGCAGGACAACACTGTACACAGAATTTTCAGTTAATGGACAGAGGTTATTCCAGGTTTGGACAAAGTGCTGAAATCCCGACCTTTGTTTCGCTCACCTTTTGTTTTTAACGCCGTCCTCCTTTGTGGCCCCAGCATCACCGGCTCCTCTGTCTGTGCATTCTACATGGACGACATCGAGAAGGCCTTCAGCGGCAAATTCAAAGAGCAGAGGAACAGTGAGTCAGCATGGACACCTGTTCCAGAGGAGCAAGTCCCGAAGCCAAGGTAAGAGAGACATCTTTAAATAGCAAACTGACACTTTCCAGGAACATGTTTTTCTGCCTCTGACAGCAATGTGTTTGCAGCTGCTGCTGTTATTGTTCTGCACAGACATCTCTGAACAAAAACCACCAGCAGTCACACCATACACCTGTTTATCCTCCTGTTTGTCCCAGAAACAAACAGCTGTCAGTGGTTTTGCATCTGTACACATGTAACTGAATACAGACCTGATATATTTGTTGCTGCTGCTGTACAGGCCGGGAAGCTGCGCCAGTGAGGGCTCAGCGGCTGCTTACAAGTCGTCCACCACCTTCCCCGATGAAACCCTGACATTCATCAAGTCGTACCCACTCATGGACGAGTCCGTCCCCTCGGTCTACGACAGACCCTACTTCACCCGCACCACCAGCAGGTGTAGTAATGGTCTGAATGAAAGAGCAAATGGATAAATGATGGGCTAGATTTTGTTCATTCATTGTTGTTAACAGCTTTGACATTATTCTAAGAGAAGCAAAGAAACCAGCATATTGTTTTTGTCATTTGTATTCATTTACTGCCAGCCTTTTAGTGCAGCTCCTAACCCTTCTTCCACTAACATTCTTATAGTCAAACATCAAGTGAGAGGCAGCAAGTGATGCAGCTCCCAGCATCCGCACAAATTAAGGTCAATGAGCTGAGTTGATCCTTTATTAGCCACATATTGTGTGGTGCTGAAACAGCTGACAGATTATTAATCAGCAGTGCTGAGATTCAATCAAAGGCTTAAGCAGTTTGTCAAGCAAAAATACCAAACATTCTCTGGTTCCAGCTTCCAGCTTTTTTTTTGTAAATTGAATTTCTTTGGGTTTCGGATTATTGGTCAGAGAAAACAAGCAAATTGAGGCGATCTTACTGAGATGGGGGAACGTGCGGATGGGGAGTTTTCACTGTTTTTCAACAAGTTATAGACTCTTTGTGAACACAGACAGCTGATTAATCAAAAAGTAATTAACAGATTAGCATATAATGGTGTGTTTCTTCCGGCCAACAGTCCAAACCCCAAAGAAAATCACTTTACAATGGAGCAGAATCTGGAACCAATGTTTTCTATTTTTTGCCATAAAAATATTTAAGCAATTAATTGAGCATCCAAATATTTTAGATTAATTACACATAATTTCTGTCAATTGACAAAACAATTAATTAATTCAGGTCCAATAATATATCTGCATCTTTTTCTGAGTTTGAAAACTGCAACATTTTGCAACTTTAAACACCCCAGTGTCATTGTCTGTGTCAACATTGTCTGTTTGCCTTTATTTTTGCCAGATGTTGCTGATGTTCCATGTATTACCTTATGCAAAATAAATCATACAAAAGCGCTAGATCAGATGCAGTCAAATGTTCACTGTGCTCAGTGAGCAGCTTTATTGACTCAAATTAAAACCAAACCCATTCACTGGATGCCAGTATCACAAGCTGGTCTCTACAGTGTATCACTGAATTTTAGGATGACGACTTGGTTTGAGGTTATTGTTAGGAAAACTGTGGTTATGTAGTTAGTCTCCAGGAAATGAATGTAATGTCCCCACAATGAATTAAAACAAATCAGGTGATGGAGTGAATGCAGAATCAGTGATAAGTGTCACAAGTGCCTCAGGACATGCAAACATGCGTGTACATGCTGCTGATGCACATCACGCATTCAGGCTTCACACTCACAGTATGCAGCAGCCTTCTCCGTGCCTCCTGAAGCACAGCCGGGCTGACAGCCAGCCAGACGCTGCAGCGGCTCTACGCTGGGGAAACACGCGCCGCTTCACATCTGGTGCCAAAAACATCGCATCTGCTTCACCTCACGCCAGAGAGGAGCTAAATAAATGATACCTAACCAGAAGTGCATGATGCGATGCTGCCGAGTCGTCACGAGGATGCGACAGTCAGGTCCATGTGGGTAAACACACCAGCCTCCATGGGACCATCTGGGAGGGACTGAGGGAAGAATGAGGACACAGGAGCCTGTGCAGGTGTCCTTTATAGAAGAATCTAGATGTGGTGCCAAAAATATAACTGGGATCATTATAGGAAGTTTGTTTGTTCAAATGAGTGAGTAAAGCTTATCCCTCTGGCAACAACCACTGGACTCAAGGTGCCCTTCAGCACGGCTCCTAATTCTCAGCTGCTCGGGTGGAGCCAGCAACAGACGGCTGCGGTGATGCCGGGCAGCTCCCAGGTGTGTCTGTGTGGAGGGAGATGAATACGAAGCACCAGTTCACTGCACTGGACTTCCTGTCATAAATACATAATAGCAAACTGTGGGTGAAAACAGACTGCATTGTGTCGAGGAAAGTGGCTAAACAACAGGAAGGATCGATTGAATGGCTGTGGGTGGATGGATAAATGAATTACCAGGATGAAGGGATTAAAGTGTGTAGTGCAGGCAGCAGCAAAAGGGAATGGTGGGTTTTTAGATGAAGTGATTGATTGCACACTGATGCTTTAAGCTCAGTACTCACCCACTGTTTGGATTTTATTATGGGAAATTTGACTCTAACAAAGCGAAACAACATTAAGATGCTAATTAGGATATGTGTCCTTGTTAGCTCCCCCTCATTTCCATCAATTTAAACAGAAATGCTAGCTTAAATTTTGAAGTTCCTCATTAGAGCCGGGTTACTGTAAGTCACTGTGCCTTTTGATGGTGCATCACATCTTTAACTGATCAGTACTTTCAACATAGTTACATGTGTAATAGTCTTTTTCTATGTTTTGTATGCAGGTTTAAGTTGACCCAGATAGCAGTGGACACGTCAGCAGGGCCATACAAGAACTACACAGTGCTTTTTCTGGGCTCAGACAACGGCCATGTGCTGAAGATCCTGGCCAGCACTGAGGGGGCCAACGCATCCTTCAACACACAACTCCTGGAGGACATCGACGTCTACAACCCTAACAAGTCAGACACACTTTGTGGTTCAACCTCTTTGTCTTTTATTCCTTAATTGTCTGTCATCTTTTCTCTCTGTTGTGAATTCACTCTCGATTTTTAGTCTTTTCTTTCTTTGTCATTCATTTTGTATCTTCCTCTGTTCTTTTCTTTCTCTCTTCCTCTCCGCCTTGATCTGTCCTGCTCACCCACTCTTCGGTCTATTGTAACACTTCACCCCGTACTGCTAGAAGGGGAATGAAAATGATTTTTTCTTTGTCTTATTTTGTTTTCTGACTGCATGGCTTGAAAAGTCTCTCTGCATGGAGTTAGACTCATGGCCGGCTCTCTGTATAATTTTCAGATTGTGCCAGATGTCTGCAGCAATGATTTAAAAGTCAAACTAAATCAAAAATGTCTGATTGTGACAGTTGGTGTTTTCCTGTGTTCCTAGATGTAACGTGCGGGGGGAGGACAGGAGGGTGCTGGGTCTCGAGTTGGATCGGGATCACCATGCGTTGTTTGTGGCCTTCTCCAGCTGTGTGATCCGCGTGCCACTCAGCCGCTGCCCCGACTACAGCTCCTGCAAGAAGTGAGTCTCCTGTAGAGCAAAGCGTTTCCTCTGCCACCAGCAAGGAGCTGCACACCCTGTCTGGCTGCCAGCTTCATTCTCTGTGGCTGCACACATATGGACACTAAAACAGTCTGTTGGTTACTGACAGCTTCATCTCATTCAACCAGGATTCACAAATGATTTTTGTTTAGACACAACAAGTAAGAAGTCAGCTGGGGTTTAGAGAACATTTGGGTTTTTCTGTATTATCCAACAATTTATTTATTAATATACCTTTTACCAGGGCAGACATCAGTATCACATTAGTTTAATTCTAGCTGAGTGTGAGTGAAAAATAGATTGGGAAAAAGCTAATTTCTTATTTTCAAGACCATGATTGCAATTTGGTGTCACAATTAAAGCGATAGATTTATCTGCATGAGACCTCAGAGGCAAAAGTCAAAGATCCAGATGAAAAAGGTCATTGTCTTTGGAGCAATGTTTAGGTAGGACAATGGTCAAAAGTCACAGAAACACAGCAGTAAGCCACACTCAGTGGCGCAGCCCACAAATTCAGGGTTTCCTCCCTGAGTATCAGCAAAATGGCACTAAGACTTTTCCTCTGCAGCTACCAATTTAAGAAATGTATCCACTCATGATGCTGTTAGGGGCTTTTGCTAAAGGGCTGTATTAGATAGCAGATGTTATGCTATTATCTGCCTGTTTCACAGAGTCAGTTAGGCCCACTTTCCCCTGAAAGATTATTTGTGTTGTTGGTAGTTGAGTGAGAGTAAGATGAAACCGAGCAGTGGAGGAGTGTGGTTTGGCAGCAATGTGAGAAAAGCTGTGGTTAGAGATGAGGTTGAACATTTTTCTAAGTTGATTCTGATCTGATTTCTGCCTGAGCTTCATGTTTGAGAGTCCATGCTTTTATAATGCTGAAATAATAGTTTCATATCCCTGAGATTTATAGTGACAGTATGATGTTAGCTGGTAAATTCTGGAATTAACATAGTTGGGAAGCAGAGGAATATTATTACAACATATATAATGGCAAACATATATACTGTACCTAAAATTTGCTGATTTGCCTTCTTAAATGACTATTTATTGCTTTTTCTTTGTTATATGTGATTCAGTTTGTTAACATGCTTACAAGAAATCAGGTTACTTAAAGAAATCGGAACACATTTAAATGCACTGCAGTAACCTAGTCATTGTAAATGTGCATATTTAATCAACAGGTTATTAATCTGATTTATCCCCTGAACCCTTATTTTGAAATTACTTTTACTAATTTCCTGATAGATTGTAGAAAGTACAGACACCATAAGGGCTCCCAGAAGTGAATCCACTGCGGATTGATCGCCCCCTAGTGGCTGGTTGCAGTATATTTCATAAATCCCACCTCCTCCACGTTAGTGGATGGGACATGAGCCAAAATTAAAACTCGAAGTATAAATAAGAAAAAAAAAAAAATCCCAGAGGTCATTTCTATGGTTTTTGGCAGCTATTATCACACAGAAATGTGTACAAGTGGTAATTTTTATGGTAAATTTGCTTTTCATACATTAGTTGATGATATAAAAAGTAGTGCATTTCAGTTGATTTGACAGCTTTGATTGGTGGTTTGATGCTGTCACCCCACTTGTGGTGACTACTGCACAGAATCTGGTTGCAAAAACACAAGATGGCAGCTGGCGTATTCACATTACCTTGGCTTCATTGTGGCATAGTGGAGGGAAGGGACACCATGTCCGTCGAATATGTCAAAGATCAGAGTTCATAATTTTTTATTACGTGACAAACGTGTCTCCATTTTACAAACGGTTAAATGTTCATCCAGCTATGATATTTTCTTGACAGTTTTTGATGCACATGCATGAATCCTGGTTATGTGTTGAGAAAAAAAAAACTTTCTCCAACAGAAATCTAGACCCAGTTACTTAATGTAAATGCTGACTAAACATTTGCGGATGTCACCTTAGAAATGTTGATGGGCATTTTTCACCACTAATGAAAATAATCATTAGTTGCAGTGGTAAAACAGTAATGATCAGTATAAACATTAGCTTCTCAGTGTAGAAACACAGTTGTCAAAGATCACACTGCCTGTAACAAAACAAAACCTTGAATGTGGTGCTGTCAGGAGTCTGACACTGTTTTTGGAACGAGTTTATAAGGCTGAGTGCAGCCTCGGAGCGTCTCTCTTCATCTGCAGCCTTTTGTTTTATCAGGCGATGTGTAGCCCCCGCTAATGTACTCGCTCCCCAGTTTCAGGTTCTATTTTCGGGGCTGTGAGGAATGTTGGCCCCAAGCATCTCCCCCCAATTTTCATCCCCTTTAACCCATACGAGGGATTTCTTCTCAGCTCCGCCAGGGAATACACATGCTCCCATAGCATGCTAAGCCCTTGTTGGAAAGGCCTGGAGAAGCTGTCAACATCGTTTAGTCATAAATTGGATCCAGCTGATTGGCCAGGAGCCAGCGGTAGTGGCTGCTATTGGCTTTTTTTGTGTGTGTTTGAGAGAGAGATGAGGAAAAGAAGGAACAGGGAGAAAATGGAGTTTATGGGCCGGCTACATCCCCAGATCCTTTTTAGAGTCTGGGGCTACAGGACACCTCATCCTGGGATTACGGGCCCCGTAAGCCTCATCAGCATTGGCCAGGAGATCAGGTTTCAGCCGCCATGTCCGTCTTTGCCACACCAATGAATCTGTCTCTCTCCAGATGAGCTTTACTCCATCTCTCTGTTTCTGACTGTCTCTGCAGTTTTCTCACCCCTGGCTTGTTTCTCTCTCCCTCGGTGAAGCCCACGTTGTCAGGTTTCTTTCTTCACTTGAGGCCCTGCTGTCAATATTAAGTTTCAGAAATGCTCTGTTTTGAACTGTGGCTATGAACTGTATGAAATGGGAGTTTTAATAAAGAAGTACAATAAAAGGATAGAAGAGGCCTCAAACCCCGAAGCTCTGTAAAGCCAAGGATTTTCAGCTACAGCGGAAATTTCCTTTTTTATATGAGCTGTCTCAACCTGGTGAGTGTTCTGAGATAAATATGTCATTTTTACTCACCTACTGTGTAAAATATGGTTTATTTATATGACAGTTGCAGGCATTCATGCTTCAAATGAGGCGACACAGCAGCGCGGTGGTTAGCTCTGTCGCCTCACAGCAAGAAGGTTCCAGGTTTGAGCCCAGGCTGAACCGGGGCCTTTCTGGGCAGAGTTTGCATGTTCTCGGGGGGATTCTCTCTAGGTACTCTGGCTTCCTCCCACAGTTCAAAGACATGCAGCTTAGGTTGACTGGTGACTCTAAATTGCCTGTGAGTGGGAGTGTGTGGTTGTTTGTCTACATGTGATAGACTGGTGACCTGTCCAGGGTGGACCCTGCTTCTCACCCAATGTCAGCTGGCATTGGCTCCAATTCCCCTGCGATCCTATTTGGAATAAGTGGTATATATAATGGATGTATTCCTTCAGTAGCTAACAGCCGAAGCCATTTCAGTCTGAGAGCTCATTAAACTGGACAAGTTTGGATGCGGAACCTTTGACGGACTGCTGTTTCCTGCGGTAAACCGTACTCATTTCCTGT